TTCTTTGAAAATCCAAGCAACAAAACCCAACTATAATCCAAACAATCAATGTCAAAAGGCAATATTTACAAATCCGAGAACACACAGGGGACACACAAACAAAACAAACAACACACTGTCAAATCGGTGTTAGAGATACATGGACCTCAAGGCACAAACCAAGAGGTGATGTGGCACCCGCCATATATCTCTCTGAGTCATTGTTTGTTATGTCCAAACACTTCTTTATTTAGACTCACTTAATTAAACACACACACGATGTGGCTATTTAAATGAAACATTTTTTGGTGTCATACTATGTTGTACGCATCCTCGGTGGGTGACGTCATCGATAACTTATCATCTCATATCACAGACTGTGAGAATGTGCCTAATACGTTTTCTGAAAGTGACAGTAATCAAGTCATACACATATTTCGAATTGATCAAATCTCCTTATGACCTCTTTGACATCATTTGACATTGTCGGCTATTACTAAAGCTTTAGTATGGCTTTAAGAGATTATAATTTAATCACGCTTGCTATAATTAGAAAGGCATTCTAATCACGTGATTGATTTAAATAAAGACATAAATGCACATTCTGATGACTCACTTAAATTTAAAAAGATTTAAGTTACAGAGACATCTAAACACTTCTAAAACCAATTTTGACATTTTCTTGTGTAAAACATAAATGGAAATATTTACATTGAAAATAACATACTATAAATACATATTTAAAAAAACAATTATTTAACACTAACAATTTTATGCATTTTACTATAATTTCTTTGTTTCATTCACAGTGAAATCCAGAACTCATCAGCAAAAAAATATTAACTTATTGGATTGAATGTGCCATATTTGCAAAAAAAAATCACAGAACACTTTCTGATACACTTAAAACGTGTCTAACGTTTTGTAAATACCAACTACATCTGTACAAGGATTACTCATGGTATCTGACGAAAATACCTCTTAGAGACAGGTGTGGATTATATGGAGGTTAATTAATTAAAATGTTACTGACAAATTGACAATAATTTCTCGGTCAAGGGGACATTTTTCGAACAGATATTTGAAAATGGCGAATAAATAAAAATATGTTGAAATTAAATTGAAAATATGGATGTGCATACTATTGTAAAACACAGTCTGATGAAACATAGTTTGAAAATTGCTTGATAATATTACACTCACTACTCATATCACTACACAACTATTCAATGCAACATTTCCTCAAGAAATTGCTGACCTCAACGCCTGCTTACGCATGACTCTGAGTACATTGAATTCTGGGTATTTTCATTGAAGAATGAACTTCTAACTTAATTGCGAATATATAACACAGTTGGTATTAAACTGGCAATTTGCCAGCCAGCGTATATTCTGGTATCACCTTATAACAAGTCTCCATACAGATCCCTTATAGCATATTGGTATATAATATACTAATGTATCTGTTATTTTTTTATATAATGTTAATAATTAATAAGTTACTTAACATAAATATAAATTTCAAGTGGTGATTAAAAACAAATTGACCAATCATAAATAAACGTAAGTGTATGAATACCGCTCGCTCGCTTTCGCAATTTAACGTTCTGTACCAAACGACAATTGTAATACTTGTACTTGGATTTTTTTAAAATTATTTGAGCGATCGAATCATTACTATCATTACTTAAAATTTGATAATGTCTTTTGCGTTCATGACAGTAACTCAGGCAATGATTTACAATACATTTAATTTAAAGTTAATTTATTGTATTGTTGTTCGAAATCCAAAGCGATAAAGATTATAATACATATACATGGATTTTAATACTAATCGAGGTGACTATTAGACTACTGTGGAATACTTTATTTTCGCTGGAATTAATTTTCGCTGAAAAAGCTTTTTGGGCATTTTGTATGGAATTTATTTTCACTGATTTTTGATGAGTTTAATGTGAAATATAGGGAAAAAAAGTATATTCGCTGGATTTTATTTTCACGGAATCATTCTTTCAGCGAAAATAAATTCCAAGCGAAAATAAAGTATTTACAGTAATATCTCGTAGTAAGGAATAGGGTTGCCAATATAACATTAAATATTTTATGCACCAAATTCTACAAATTCAAGGTCATTGCGATGATGAATCTTTGGCTACATTGTCCTATTTGATTGAAACGCTTATCCCCGATGGCATTACGATGGGTGCATATTATTATATTACCGTTACATTTCTGTGCATAGAAGAGCAAAACATGATAAACCAATTTTCACCCTGGAACGATTATTCTATTATAAATAATTGTTGATGAATCGAGAGGCAGAGTATTATTTGACTTCATTGCCCACACATTTTTTTATTTGATTTTTGTTTATATTTAGCTAGACGTTGTATTGGAAAATTCTAGTTTTCACACAGCAAGCACGTCACCAGGTGTGAACTCAGTCACATTGTCATCAATTGATATTTAAAATGTGTTGGCTTTGATGACTGAACAATTGGGTTGTTAACCCCTAGATTGGAATAGTGTAATTTCAAATCACGATAAAAATGATACGTAATGTCATTAACTAGTCATGAAATCGTTATTATTTCACTTGACCAATACTTGATTGAGTGCAATATTAACAGTCATATCTTATAAAATACACGAGTGAGGTCATTATATATTGACCAATAATGTATCCATGTTAGAAAACAGTTACAAAAAATGCAAGTTATCAACATTAACGACGATGACAGTTTATATATGACCGTCCATTATATATATATATATATATATATATATATGAAGCGCCCGCTAAGTGTAGCAACATCCGCAAAAAAACACATACATAGTAGCAACATTATCTACACTAATTACTAATATTTCATCATGACAAAAAAAATGAAATATTTCCCTCAACCGTCAACAGGCTTCTTGAAACTTTCATTTCATTTCCTTTCTTTTAGCCAGCGCAGTTGACACGTTTTCAATCACGCTATTATATTCACATAAATGGGCTGTAATCATGTGATCACGACTTGGTTAGAATAGGAACCAAACATTATTTTTTGGGAGGAATTATTTCTCGTTCACTAAATAATGTCCTCCATAATATAATTTTGTTGTTGTTGACATCTTTGTTTCGCAATTCTCTTATAATTTTATCCGGAAAGTAGTTACTGCCTTCGGCTTGGCGATCCAGTATTTAAATTGCATCTAATTTAGTGCAATTTACGCGAAACATTCTGACTCAGAAAATGAAAGTGTGTTTACCTGCAAATCTTTAATACTACTTCGTGTCTGTGAGAGATGCATGAAATCTACGTTTTGTCACGTTCTGTTGAAATCTACGGATGCAAAGGCTGATTAAAATGACCCGGAAATCTGCTTTTTCTTTTACTCACGTCGTCGTCGTCTTTATACATAGATACGAGTTTGAAACACCTGCATTACTGTGATTCTTGCTAACTACATATTTTCAAGTAGTCTGTATTTATGTTTACACACATAGTACATGTTATCGTAATATCTGGCACTCTCACACAACAATGCTTTTTGACTAGCTAGGGCAAAAAATTTGATATTTATTATCACGTTATTTGAATAGCGAGGCTAAGCATTATGTTATTAATTATTCTCGAAGACAAACAAGTAAACACAAATTAGAAAAGTTACATACATATTTATAACTGTTTAGTGCATGCGCAGAACAAGGCAGTTATTTTTTAGTAAATTCTTGTAATTTGTTTCTTCGAATATCTACTTGTCCACGTAGGTTGTTATTCCCTATACGTCTAAACGTGATAAATATATATGAAATAAGACATGATAAATCGGGTGTGTTATCATATTCCATTAAAATATGTAAATCTCCGTGAGGGTTAGCATAAACTGTAGTTATTAGTAGTAGATTAATTACAATCCCATTAAATCTTATTCTCTTGTAATATTAGAATCTAGATCATGCATATATTCCTTTTAACGTATCATCAATTATGTCAAAATGTCTACAAGGTGACATTCATTTTGGATTACATTGGCCCTGTCTATATCACTGGATCCGTAGGTAAACAACCACGTGCTCCTTAAGATGATAACTAATTGTGTTCATCATATTATAAGTAGGTAGTTGATCATGCGGCAATGCATCATGGGAAATATATACCAATATATGGAGTAGGATATATGAATATAAGGGGTGACCACTAGAAACTCCTGGGGCGATGGCAGAATAGGAAAAATTGTACAGGAAAATAATTCTGCAGATATTAATAAAATATTGTAGTGTTACTGGAACATTGTTTGTTATTAGGTGGTTATTTTTTATTTACAAAACTGGGTACCGTGTCTATGTCATCAACGTGTTGAAATTACTTTTACTGTCACAATATTTGAAGTATCTTTGAATTATGGCATGATAAAATTTGCAACTTGGGGTTTATTATCATCAACAGTCACATGTACCACGATGTGTGAATAGTAAGCTGTTGGTGGGGAGTAATACCGGTATTTATTATCATCAACAGTCACATGTACCACGATGTGTGAATAGTAAAGCTGTTGGTGGGGAGTAATACCGGTATTTATTATTATCAACAGTCACATGTACCACGATGTGTGAATAGTAAGCTGTTGGTGGGGAGTAATACCGGTATTTATTATCATCAACAGTCACATGTACCACGATGTGTGAATAGTAAGCTGTTGGTGGGGAGTAATACCGGTATTTATTTATTATCATCAACAGTCACATGTACCACGATGTGTGAATAGTAAGCTGTCGGTGGGGAGTAATACCGGTATTTATTATCATCAACAGTCACATGTACCACGATGTGTGAATAGTAAGCTGTTGGTGGGGAGTAATACCGGTATTTATTCTCGTGACAAAGTAAATACCCCGATGTTATTACAGTGATTTGTTGTTCACCGAGTCCTGAATTCAGTGTATGTATTCATCACAATGCCAGACGACCCCGCGTAAGTCTACATACATGAGAACACTTTATAGTTATTACGTCTACCGTCTTTTCCAGGTACTGTACGCATAATATGCGTTGTTTCGTCTCTGTATTCTGAGGCTATGGTATCTATTATGCGACAGTTGGCCGTGGTTCGTCCATATTGTTTTCGTAACAGAATACATATGCGTCAGACAATGAAGATATTACTCATCGTATGGGTGATTGCTATCTTGTTCGGAATAATTCCGATAATTTTACCAGGTACGTTTGATAATGCGTAATAGTATTTACGATGTAATGTCAGTATTTAGATAAGTATATATTATTCTGCGATAACACAATGGAATTACTTCCACGTTCAGGGTATTTCAGTTCGTATGATACAATACAATTACTTTACTTCACATTAGTATTCTGGCATGTATATTACGATGTAATTACTTTCAAGTTGGCATTCCAGTGAGTATATTGCAATGCAATTACTTTCATGTTGTATTCTAGTACGTATAATACGACAGTATTGTGTAACGTATATTACTCGTATTCTGGCATGTATTGGTGCAATGTATAATACTACAATTGTACTTCAATGTACACGTTTTCTCTATTTTCAGATTACGTGTACAACTATGAGTCAATTCAAGCCATGTGTAATTTGGAATTTCAAAGAAACACAATCGGAATAACTATCTTCACTACAATGATTATATTCGGCATGTTCATCCCCATAGCAACCTCTTTAGTGTGTTATATGTGGTTGCTATGCTCTCTGAAACAACAACAAACTCAGTTCATGGTTGTCAGGGACGATGGTCGGAACAACTCTCATCACCGAAAAATGATGGTTCATTTAAAAGTCAAAAATATCATTTTTGTCATTTTGATAAAACTAGTTTTTCAGAATTGTCCGTTCTTGTGTCTCACTGTGATGTTTCATCTGCCCTCTACCCGGAGAGTTGTTGCCATTTCCGGTGTCTGTGCTCTGTGGTTGCTGTATTTCAACACACTCGTCAACCCGACGGTCTACGGCTTTCTGAATAAACAGCTGCGACAGGATTTTGAGAGATACTTATACGAAAATCACCCAAAAGTGTCACAAGCCATCTTGTATCTCTTAAAATGTTGTTGTCCCCAAATCGATGCCATCGAGGACAATATGGAGGATATACCCGTGGAGTTTTGCCAGGTAAAGGCCCCCAAACAGGATGTGACGTCAATCTCACGTGGAGTTCCGATTTCTTTCCCTGATACACCCAAAAGGAGGCTGCACGTCAAGTCATCTAGTCGTTCTAGTTTATATATTGCAAATACTAATAGCGTAACATCTCCCACGACGTCACCAATATACAGAAACTGGTCAACAAGCACATCTAAGTCGTTGAGAACATTGCGTCGGCAAGAGCGCATCCGGGATGGGGATCTCTCGCCGAAAGTTGTTCGCGAGAACGGGCTGCGTCGAAGCCGAACAGCCAGAAATCGTCATGGCTCTGACATGGGCATGTACAGTTCCGACTCATTGATGAGTAATAACTCTCTTGGGTCATCAATCATAAGTCGGGCAAGTAGGTTCAGTCGCAGTACCAGATCTCACCTCAAGGGTTCTTTCTCTAAAAAACATTCAAAAGATAAACGAGAGTTGCCTTTGCTGGATTTGATGTCCACTTACGAGGATTCAATAGAAGAATCTTCAGGCAAGGAATACTCCAACAACGGGTTTAGAGAAGAACAACTTGACGGAAGTAAGGTAGTTAGTCAAAAACACGGAAAAAATACTTCCAGCTGCAAAAGCCCGACGTCATCACGCATGAAATCCAAACAACGATCATCGAGTCTTCATCGACACCTTGAAAGAGAAGTGTCCCTGTCAATGTTACAACAGCTTTATGGTAGTTTCATCGACATCCGGGGTATTGATATGGAGAGTGACGTAGAAAGCGTTGATCGGGACTCGGCCAATCAAACGCCTCAACATGTCAAAGTAAGACGCACAGTGTCACGTGATTCTGTAGTCGTCTCTAAAGTTTTCAATGGATCAGCACGCGCGTCACCGCGGCGTGAATCAAGCAGTAATCAAATACCTGGTTGTATTGGTCAGCGTGAATCAGTCTGTGCTGCTATCCCGGAATATTCAATTATAAAAAAGTAAATTGTGGGATGTATGTATTTTTAGGACAATGATCATTGAACAAGTGTTTTCGATAGTTTGTAGCATAGAGGGTGATATCACAGAATGATCAATGAGATGCAATATGAACTACATAAACTTGCCAAGTTTAGTGTTATAAATATACATGTCTTTGAGTCTGTAGTTTTCGATTTTCAAAATTAAAAACATTGTTTTATTCATGCACACATATTTCATTCACTGGTACGTACTTTGAATTCAGGCGCATGCGCATTTGTGAAGTTAATTGTGCGTGTTTATAACAATTCATAATGAGGTTAGTATATCAAAAATATTAAAGCGCTATGGCCGTCATGCAGCGACACAGTCGCCATGCAGCGACACAGTCGTCATGCAGCGACACAGTCGTCATGCAGCGACACAGTCGTCATGCAGCGACACAGTCGTCATGCAGCGCCACATTGGTCATACAGCGCCACATTGGTCATGCAGCGCCACATTGGTCATGCAGCGACACAGTCGTCATGCAGCGACACGGTCGTCATGCAGCGCGCTAGTCGCCATACAGCGCCACATTGGTCATGCAGCGTCACAGTCACGCAGCGCCACAGTCTTCACGCAGCGTCACAGTCATGCAGTACCACAATAGTCACGCAGCGTCACAATCCTGCAGTACCACAATCGTCACAGTACCACAGTCTTTACGCAGCGTCAGTCAAACAGTGCCACAGTCGTCACGCAGAATCACGGTTGTCACCCAAAGCCGCTGTCCCTACGTAGCGCCATAGTCGTCATGAGCAGCACAAACTACCGCATCACGTTTTGAATTTATGTTATAATTCTGTATCTACTTTCATCTAAGACATTCAATGTTTGTATGACATTTTGTAATATCCAGAATCAACATTCATACATCGTTACTGTGTACATTTATCTTTAAAACAATTGTGTTCGATATTGCATCTTGATCGGAATATTGTGTTTTATTGTAAAATAAAAACTTTATTCGAAACGGCACTGTATTTGGTTATAGGGCGGGAGTTCAGCTACTCCAAACTGAGTAGCAAAAAACAAAATGACTCAAAACGGACAATTCATAAACGCTGTAACTTTTCAATTAAGGTAGAAGCATACTCATGAATGCAAAAACCCAGAATTTATTCATTTTCCAATACGCTGCACTTCCTGACAATACAAGAATATTGACTTAAAAAACTTGGGGGTCACCAGCTTAACATATTAATTGTAGGTGATAGTGGCCATTTTGGCAGTTTTATATCGCTTTTACCATAGGTTCAGAGATATTATGCCATATCCCAAATAATCTGGTGACACAGGCTGAGAAAATTATATTTTGAAAATTATATATTTGTTCGACACAGGACTCATGGCGACGTATACAGCGCGTGCAAATACGTGCGTGCATATGACCCTTTGCATGTTACGAGTCACATGCTCCGTCCATCGCCCGATGTTCCACGTATAAAGGAAGTATTGAGTGAAGTATTGAAAAGGCCGCCAATCATCGTAGCAATACCCGGAAAATACTAAATAAAGACAACGATTACACTAAGTGGCGGTGGCACAGGGGGTGTGATCGCCCCCTCGAAAAATAAACTAAAATCAAGCTGAAATCCTTTGCGTCAGCAAAATTTGCCTAGGAAGGTCGCGTCTTTTGGCGCGAGGGATGGTGAGCAGATCTCGCCCCTCCATGCAAAATGTTGTGCCGCCGCCTCTGGATTACCAATTACCACTTTTGCTACACCGAACGTGAACAAGGTCTATATAAACAGGTTCATTAACAACTTCAAGTACAACGGCCAAAAATGATTTATGGTACGTACTATTATATCAAAGTGCATGCGTATTTGTGTAGCTCGTTTTAACACGCAAATAATAGTGTGAATTGTTTTAGCTGCACGATACATCAAGTATGTGTACCAACACAAATTTCTGATCAACGTTTATCATGTCTATCTCGAGAATTGGCATGTTTACGATAGGACGGATGTATGGTCGATTACAAAAGCATGTACACAAAATTAAATTGAACTATAAATAATAATATTGCAATATTGAAAATATGTATAAAAATAAAATAATTCCAGCTCATCTAAGGATTCAATATTGCATGTATAACACATGCGCACACAGTTCGTAGTTGTACAATGAAATACTGAATATTTTAATTTGAAAATACGAAAATCTTTTTGTTTCGCCACGAGGAGGTTATTTGTCATGTCTGTGACACAATGTGTCGTACTATGTCATTTCTGTGGCTGTTTGTTTACGATACATTTATCTCAAGGTATTCAATGACAAACTTCTCTAACACGCGTTCGATGCCCGCTGGCCGAGCGGAAGACATACCGTGGCGTGGAGCTCTGAATTCCGGTTTGATTCACGCACGCAGTACATGTTTACTTTCATTCAACATGATATTTACCCTGTCGATGTTATTTCCTTGCTTTATTTCCCATGCTGACAGTTACTACCGGACGAGAGAACCACTTTTTTAAGATCGCACATGTGATAACCCCGATGACAACTTCATAAGGGCGCTTCAAATTTCCCGCGATTCCGAACGGGTGTTCTATGGAACGGCAAAAAGTTGGAATTTTCGAATTTCCGTTGTGTTGCTATGGTTAGAGGAACACGTTCTGACATTTCAGCTTTCATCGTTGGCTACCAGCTGGGAAAGAATATACAAACAACTTTGGTGGCTCTAAATAACAGGTAAGCTATTCTGTCAGTTTACTGACATCAGCCAGTCTGCAAAAGTATGTGTTTGGCTAATGCCATTTACACTCAATACGCAAGTTTTCGTACGCTTTTTATGTTGTTTGGTTACTTGGTGGGAAATCTCGCAGTTTGTTTATACTGTCAGAGAGGCGAACTACGTAACCATGTTTTGAATATTTACCCAAAACGCTGTCAACGTTTTGTTACTCCTTTTGTTATTACTTGCGTTATGGACTTCCCAGAAAATTCTCAGTTAATAGGTGTTGTTGCGGGCGAAACAATTCCCATTACATTCATTCGGATAACAATTTAGTGCATTTTTCGTCCAAAGGTCAGCGTCGTAGAGGCGTCAAAACATCGAGTGGAATTCGACAAACGCAAAAAGTATTTTTGGTCTATTTCCAGTGGTGAATTCCGATAAAGTGAAGGGTATATCAACGTCATATTCCCCTCTGAAAGATCGGCATTTCGAGTTCAAAATCATTTTCAATTTGTTGGTAGGCGTTCGGTCCTTGCCTCACGCAATGCGAGAGATCATGCACTGACGGAAAATCATAAGTAAGAGATAGTTACTCAAGGCTCTTAGTAATTCTTCGCAATAACTACTTCTGATGTAGGGTCATTACTCGACGCGTCTGAAAGAATAATTGCAATATAACGAGGGCTACGATCACCTATTACCTCTTTTAACTTCATACTCTAATACAATAAAATTAGTGTGATTTCGACTGATGCGACGATAATTGAATGTCATCTACATAATGCCAATGACATCACGGGTCACCATGTTAATGTCAATCAGTATTTAAAGATGTATTCATCATTATTAATATTATTATTATTGAGAGTTTTCGTGATAAACCACGAGGCATTCATCACGAAATATATATTTGAAATCAACAATGTGGTCTCCATAGTCGTCGCTATATTTTTACAACGGCGTTCACGATCATGATAGGTCCCGCATCTTGAAAAAGCCAACACAGGCCACTTCACCGCTAAAAATTGTATACATGTTTCTATAATTTTTAATTCTATACCAATTGTACAGAAATATTTTGAAAATCTTGAAAAATTGGAAGAAATTATGGAGGCTTATTTTGTGAAAGGTGGCGCAAACTGATCTCGACGCGATTTTCCCCATCACTGTACTGGAAATGAAATCAAAATATCTCAAAAGAAAACACAATTTACTCTAGGCATACTTTTTGTCTGCAGATTCATAAAATGAATAGAGCAGCAAGCAGACGGTCTATGATGAGCGAACCGGAAACGGAGGGGGTACTGGAAGCCGAGCTGGCAAAACTACAACGACAATATCGTATAATGGAAGGAGATAGAAAGGCATATAATGAGGAATCTCAGAATATTATTAGAAAACAAAAGTAAGTGCACCGCCCGTTATCGTCCGTGTCTATAGGCCGGTATTCCTGCTGTTATGTGTAGTGAGCGGGGAAGGGATTGAACTTGCAGGTCATTAGTAGAACGGAAATCAGTGTTCCCACAATCACGCGACTTCAAATTAATCTAATTTGGCGGGAATACCAGTAAATATTTCAAAATTGTACTTTCGCGCTCAAATACGCCGCTGTATGTACGCACACGGCACTAGCGCCGACGACAGGCAACGTGCGCGGCGGGACCAGTGAACGGGATTTTACACTAACGGTATCATCTACGACAAATTTGTTGTTTAGAGCTCAGATTGAAAGTCTGCGAAAAGAAAAGGCGGAGATCAAGATGGAACTGCAGCTGGCACGAAGTGTGGATAATGTCAAGAAAGACTGTGGCAATTCTAGTAAGCTTAGAGCGCTGATCAAACAAGAAGACGAGTTCGAACGTCATATAGAAGAAGAGAACGAACAAATTACATTGTTAGACGCCCAGGTGAGATATAATGCAAATTCATATTTGAGTCGTGTGTCGTGACGTCACAGGGTTAAAATTACGCGACGTTATAGGGGGGGGGGGCAAGGGTTATTTTCGTTCATCGTAATTGCAATATTTTTTTGTTCGTACAACGTAAATTGAACAAATTTATTCCGTAATTCTGTAATCACAGGCTAGACGTACAACGTAATCATCAAGTATTTTTTTCGTACACTGTAAAAATGTGTAATTTTTCTCGATACGTACAAGAATTTACATCCAAATAAAAAAGTCGTAAAGAATAGTCCAGGGGAATTACATTTTCGAAACTGTAAAACTACTAGATGACACAATTCACTGCAAAATTCCATTTTTCACTGTAAACTGTAAAAACGTCTTTTTTCCCTGTAAATTGTGAAAAGCCCTTTTTATTTCCCGTAAAACTGTACCAGCTACCCCCCTTGCCCACCCTCTTATAAAACTGTGGTCACTTTTGATTTACACCGAAAATAATATGAGTAATTGTAATAATGCAGACGTTCTAACAAATGTACATATTAAAAGCAACGGAAATTCATTTGCGTGTTCAGCTATAAACCGTAGCAAAAAAGGATACGAAATTGAGGCACGCTAATTTGGTTTCCAGCTGATTTAAATACGCAGTATGAACGACAACATATGTTTTAAAGCGGGAGGGTCACCTACTCACGCGCGGGAATTGAGTCCCAACACAACACATGCTAAAAATGCAAAGGCTCATGGGTAGACGCTTGTTTGTAAACATTGACACGCTTCGGCCATATGGCGCATGCGCAGGTGACGACTGCCCCGCTTTAATATTGTTTGACATTGCATGTTGATGACTGAAGTGAATTCTGATATGTTGCAAACTATAAATGAGTCTACACAACAGAATTTGTTGCAAGGGAATTGAAAAACACTAATACTCATGTGTGGTGCTTGTTATTGCGTGTACCAAAATAACCAGTAGACAGAGAATGGCGTTATTCATCGAACGAATACCTAGAACAGTGATACAAAACGGCGTTTTCAGTTCATAATAGATCATAGTAGAATGTATTTATCAAGAACACAGAGTGTCAAACAACAATACTAAAAACTGACATTTTCCTGTTCACGTAGCATCTTTAATTCCTATTGATAATGTTACTCAAGTCGTTAACTTTTTTTTTCAGAATGCCCAAGAGTAAACATGTTCAATAACACATATTATAGATGAACTCATCACATTGCGTACACTGTGAAGGGTGAAATCGAGATTATCGAGAAAAAAATACTCAAATACAAAGTGTTACGCTAACATGCACTTATTTGTCATTAAAGAAAATCACATTTTTATATGATTTTTTTATTAATTATTGTGACACTGATAATAAAATAATATTGAAAGATTATTAGCAATTTAGGGCCATGATTATGCACATCCATGGTGACTTTTTCAAAGTTATATTATAAAAATCCTTATCTATTTTGTAAATTCACAGTTGCTGTTAAGCTATTCCTCTGTGTGCAATATAGTTAGTAAAACATGGAGATAGCACTGAATACACGTGTAACATCGTTATGTCGGTTATGATGTTTCTCATCATCTGACCATGTCGAAACGACTTTGCCCTCAATATGTCAAATGACACTGTATGTAATCAATCTATATTCACTCTGTAACAACTGCATGCGTGTTTTTGTTGATCAGTGTCAATTTCATTCCCAATCACGTTTCCCAGTGGGGGATATGCCTTACTTTTTAAGCAATGGAAAGGCACGTCTGGGGGCGTGTATATACATAATTTAGCATCAATTTTAGAATGTGCTCTACTGCAACAACACTGTTTATTGACTTGATTGTGAAGAATCACGTACATCAATTTCGAACCACTCTGACTATTGTTAACGGTTTCGCATATATTCAACCAACAGTTTTACCCCAAATTAACCGATAGTTGCAGATTGTATAACCGGCTTTCCTTCATAAAAAAATATAGCAACACGTCACGGTGGTCATTTAGATATAGGACCCTGGTACTGATATGAAACGGCCCTCGTCTTGTGTTAGCGTTTACCGGTATACCTAGCAATACACTACGTGAAATAAGATTGTTTCTTAGTTGGCTTAGCCCGGCATTGTTTTAGATGCATGTGTCCGGTATGTACACCTTCGATGTCTGCCTAGCGAAAGTCGCCTGGCCTATACATGAACACTGCCGTTTCCTTGACAGCAAACATTCATGCAACAGATCCAAAAAGTTGCGGAGCCATGCATGGATACTAAACTTGCGAATGTAATATTCCAAAATAATACTTAGTAAAACTTACAGCACTGACTTGTTCGAGAGAAATCCAACTACACGAAATTAATAACCTTCGACGGAAAGAAGATGTGCAACGCTGTCGTGATTCGTGATTTCTGAATCAAAACTTAGTATGTAATTTTCTCCTCTTCTTTCTAAAACTACTAGAGCCCGATGTTTGTTTTTAATATGCATAAAACTCAGAAACGTTACAGAATAAAAAACAAAAAACATACACGGTATATATATAATGTGATAAGATGAATGTCTAAATTGCTGCAAGCATTCACGTTGTTTTTTTGTTTCAGTTGAAAGAGTGGCAAGAGAAATACAACGATCAAAACAAGACGATAGGTGGAATGGACAACAGTCGACAAAAGCACGTGGCTACACAAAAGCAAATCAGAGTACTTGAGAACAGGTTGAACCAGGTGAAAGCAAAATACCAATATTCATTGTTTTATAAAATCGCAAAATCATGATGGTTCTTTACCAAAGAATAGGGGGATGTGGAGGGAGATTCTTTGCAAACAACTCAAATGCGTCAATGACTACACCTTTCTATTTGTCATTTGTTTTTGAATGGTATACAGTCATTTTCTCACTAGAAAAGCTTCACGAACGGTTTTTTGTTGACTTTACCTTCAGAAATAACGATTGTGTGTATGTCAATTTACGTGGCTATTAAAACAGACTTCATTTTACAGCAAATCCTTATCCAATGCATTTTCAGGTTACATCGTCTGAAACAAAGCACGGTCATCACGGTTAAAATAGGATGGAACTGAAAATTTCACGAATAGTCGCTTCGTAATATGTTTCCCATTATCTTAATTGCCATGGTTTTAATTACTCAGTGTTTGTTTTATATTCAATTTAGGCGACTGTTACCTTCAATAAACACCTGACGACTAACGCCGAGTTACGGGCGACAATCGACCATTTGCGACAGGAACGGGCAGTGTTCAACACCCTTCACAAGAAGCTGTCGAAGGAGTTGAACGATGGCAGACAAGAGATGTGCAAGGTTACGGAGTCTGCTACTCACGCCTACGATTCACGGTATGTTGCAATTGACAATGTGCTTATTTTCGGGCACGTTTTTTGCATCTTAAAACATTAGGGTATGATTTTTGTTAGAAAATGAAAAAATGACAACCAATTCACAAAAAATATAAGAGTGGGAGTTTCATTATTGACAACAATCTACGGTGTTGTCGGTTATTGGGCATTATTTGTAGTCACCACAGGGCTAGGTTTCTTTTTGTGCAGCCATGTAAATCTGTTGTGTGCATGTATAAATAACCTGATGAGGTACATCTACTATGACAAGGTATCTGTTTAATCACCAAATTATGACTGTTTACGTCGGTCTGCGCATTGTAAGGAATTAATTTAGTGAGTATAATACGACGGGCTACGAACGAGGACGAAAAAATATGGTGGATTTAAACTTGGACATACCTGTCACGTGACACTAAAATTAACCAATTCATGAGAATTGCAATATAGGGTAGCTTTTTGGAGTAAATCTTCAATTGATAGTGGTGTTCAATCTAGTTTTCTTTCTTTTCACTTAGTGACGAGGCCCAAACCAAAATGTCAGCACTGAAAGAACGAAGCGACAAAGACAAATCACAACATAAAGCAGAGTTGAAAGAATTACTACGAATATTAGACCATGATCAGAAACTGAAAGAGTTTATGGCAGTGAAAGATCAGGAACGTGCCGAGTTGAAGGCAGAGGAGGCAGCTAAACGAAAGAGAAAAGGTATTATTCGATTTGATGTCGTCATATTAAAGCGCGGTGGTCGTCGCGCAGCGCGTGTTCGAATTTCATGTAAACAATGTATTTTACACGCGTTGTATACGTCGATATGAGTTCCATATCGAACAGGACGCGGCAGGACGAATGCCGCCCTTTAAGGAGATTCAAGCCGAATTGAAGATTATATCATCTTTTTTATACATTCATAATTATGGGTTGACATTCATAGAAACTGGTGCAAAAATAGTATGGCATTTGGACTCTTGTTTCTCAGAAAAAAAGTCCTGTGACCCCAATTTTCATTTAAATTGGTTTGGTAACATGATGTCATGAACCTACAATAATGAAAGTACAACAAACACGACATATAATCTTCCATTCGTTGAACCTCATTTTAGAAAGTGTGCTAGGATTATCTTGAAAACGTAGAAACTAGTACCACTTACACAAATTGATTTAATCGACAGGCAATGGTAATAGAGGCAAGGATAACAGCCATGAGGAGATGTTATTCTCGTATGAGCAAGCTTTCAGCAAAATTAAATCAATAACTGGAGAAGAAGACATTGGTAAAATCCTTGAAAAGTTTATGAAAACTGAAGACAGAAATTTTGCGTTATTCAATTACGTAAATGAAATGAATAATGAAATAGAATGCCACCAGGAAGAGATTGATAGGGTTGCCATGGAGATTCAAAAGTTCCGCTCTCAGGGTGTGTATATTGAGAAGCAGCGCCAAGCCATATTGAAAGAATTAGAGGTAAGTCTTAATCTGATTATTTGTGTCAATAAGATATTAAATGACACTGCTTTAAACTGCCAACTAGGGATTTACAGGATTATAGTAGGTATGATTTCTGATGATACTTTGCCTATAGCTAGGTTTTTATGTTTCTCAGGACTAAACCATTCATAACATAGAAAGGTCAGCATATTTATAAGTGGGAAAAGGAAAACTTAGTCAAAGAAGAGCACAGACAATTTTAAAATATATGCAAAAAGTGACTAGAAGTGAATAATGGTTAAACTAAAGTGGAAATAGAAAATAGGAAAAGTGTTATTATTTTTCAGGGTTTTTGTTATTCCCTGCTGATTGTAACTGGTTTTTGGCATTTTGCCAGACAAAGTATATTCCATGTTTGAGATTATGTGACAAGTTTAACCCTTTGAGTGAGTGCCTTCATTTTTTTGTCAAAAGATTTTACCTATTTTCATGTACTTTTCTATCGTTTTTCGGATTAATTTTAAACCAAATATACATAATTTCTTACTGGCTATATGCCGATAAACAAATATGAAATAAATTATTGATGTTTTATTTTGTGAATATTGACAATAGTTGAATTTGGTTGTCAAATGGTTGAGGTACTCCTAAATGCAAATACACAGAATTTATTCATTTTGCAATAAATTGTACACAAAACAAAAGAAAGATATTGACTTAAAAAAAAGTTGGGAGTCACCAGCTTAATTATCCGTATCTCAAATTCAACTGAACAAAATCTTATTTTGTTGTCCTGAATTATTTAAAAAATCTGAGTTTTAAACAGTGTCATTAACATTGTTTTCTATGGAATTGTTCTAAAAATAGCAATTTTTGAAAAACATTAGGACAAGTTTTTCAAATGCTACTTCATGGTGCCATGATTACATAATAAACCGATGAACATTGTCATGTGATTTATCCTGGCGTCAACTCAAAGTAGGATTTTAATTTGAGTCACGATTACTTTTAGTAACCGTGTTTGAGTCTATCGATTATGATTCCAATGTAATTTCATTTACATATTTAGTAGGTGGGCACATCAAATTTGCATATTCAGTCTAACAAACTGTTGAAAGTAACCACAGGTTTTTTTCTTTAACGTGATGTCATTGATATTTCACTCTAGGGCCAGTACTATTGCTTAAAATGTTTTCAATAACTTTTACCAATGACAAGTTACCTAATTATTATGCATTTCGAGAAATCACTGTGTGTGTGTGTATGCGCAGTTTGAAATGCAATTTTGAACGCAATAAAATCATTTGAAGAACTCACTCACGCAAGAAACTAGTGTCAAATTGCTTTGCAATAGGGCCTGTTTGTTGAGGAATATTCTGTAAAAAAAATTGCTAAAATAATTTCAGGGACAGTGTCCAAGGATGACTGACTTCGAAACCTTCTTCCAGATCAGACAGTGCCAATCCCCCTGGTATATCTCATTATACAGGGACATCTCATTTGCATATTTAATAGGAAGACACAGCTCATCTGCAAAATCATTAGAAAACGCATTGGATTATGGGAAAATCAATGTTTATCAACACAAATGTCGCATATGCGTAGTGCGACCACTACCGTTCATTAAGTAAGAAGGCATAGTCATTTGCATATTTTCCATACAGACACAATTATACTGATATACAATACCATGACAAATACTATGTCTTATTTGCGGTGATGTGCATTTATTTCATTGACACACTTTAGTCGTAAAACAGTTCTTTTTGAATAAACCTCTGGAAATTCACACAATTCATTGTTGACTTTGACAATAACTAGCAGAGATAAAAAGAAAGAGTTATGTATTGAAATTAAAACAAATTTGACTGTGAACTGGTGGTTACATTTTGTATTCAAGCTTTGAAAATCTTGGTTAAATTGGTAATTTCAGTGAAACATTTGTGAACACTAGAGGGGGCTATTGCACTTTCAAAAACATTTTAATACTAGTACAGAATATATAATTTTTAGTCGTGTTATTTCAAGTCATGAAAGAGTTTTTAGTCTTCATCAACATTTCACTCCACCCCTCCATGTCAACAGATAATAGCAATAAGATTCATCACAAAATACGTTGAACAATAAAGTGAAATGTTGATTAGAATTTTATACTAAGAATTAATTCTAAGAGTTCTAAGAAGGAATGACAGAAAATAAAACACCAGAATTCTGATGTTCTTAAATTTTAGGAATATTCAATAAGTCTGAATGATTACTGTTAAAGGCTCAGGAAGGTACTGATTGTCATTTTTACACTGAATGGAACTGATCCCAGTTAGTTTAAGCCCCTATTCTTGCAGAACTACGTCAGAGAACAATTTATGTCACTTTGTAATCTTTAGCAACCAATTACATAGTTTTTTGGGATTTTTTGGCCTTTATTTTCACTGATGATGGTTGCCAGGTGATGAAAAGCTTGGATGCCACCCCCCAAATATAAAGCAGTGATAGCTGAACATAATTTCACTGGTACCTGTAATGTATTTCACGGTGTCACATCAAACTAATCATGATTGAATCGTAAAATGATGTATCTGTCTCAAGAATGAATTCAACTTTATGATTGAATAACATAATGTATGTATATTTTAATTTTTATTTGTTCACCAAAAAAACCCCAAACTAATAGAGACTTTTTCCTCCCCCTCCAAATATTGCAATTATATGTGAAAGTAATATGTCTATGAAGGCATTTAATATTAGAGAGGGGGGAGGGGTCTGTAAGAATTTGACTCACATACTACCAGTAGTATGCCTGACAATTTTTTTAAATTCATTGTTCTTTTTACTCCAATTGTTTTTTTATTTCCACAATTTTTCAGCCCACCCCCATTTTTTAATGGGAAACCCCCTGACCTCTTTGAATAGAGATTAAACCCCCTGACCTCTTTGAATAGATATTAAAATTATTACCAGCAACTGTTTAGACATTGTTTTTTTACTATCCTGAAAAGGAGGATGATGGTGACATAGGAAGTTGAAGCGACAAGACATTGTGTAACATAATAATTTTGTTAATCAGTATGATGATTTTCTGTAATTTCAAATCTACCAGCAGTAAAGTGTAGAAAAGGCTTCATACTTTCATGGACAGCGCCCTCTATCTTTCAAGACTGATGACCATATTTGTTTTTCTAAACTTCTCCTTTACAATTGCCTTGCTTCATAGTTATGCTATCAAAGTAAATGGTTCCTGTCCGAAACATAACAAGACATTCACAAACCAGCTTACTGATGCAGTGATCCCCTTTTGACTTGATACTCAGCTCTTTCTCTTCCCAATCATGCGTACCTACTGTGAAATTGGCTAAAAATGGTCCCTCTATGACACCTAAGGTATTCTACGAAAAAAAAAGATTATTTGATAGTATCAGTTTTGGTAATATTTCCAGATGATTGGTTATTATTCTCCCATAGAAGACTATGTATGTCAATATCTGACTTGTAAACACAATAGCTATGCAATCAAGGCATATATGGTTGACACTTACTGTGGTATGACATGATAGACAGTAGCGTTCACTGGAGTCACCTCCTGTGGAAACATCTACCGCTTTACTGCACGCTCGCAGAGACACTCGATTTGGTTCATTGCTGATAAATACAGGAAAAGATACAAAAATAATAAAATTTGGTATGTGTGCCAAAATAAGGATAGTCACACAACAAGATATGAGACACTGTATTTGCTCTATTAGCGCACTTGCTTTCATAAATTACGGAGGTATTTCTTTGGTCAAAATAAATAATATTTCACTAATTCAGGATACAACAAATGTGGTTTTTGTCTTATAAATCCACTTCTAATAAGGGCAAAAAAAAATAGTAATGTAAACTGTACTTTGATACTTTGACAGACTAGGAAGGAATGTAATTGTTAAGTATTTAACTAGACAAAAGACCAATACAGATTGTGGTTATGACAATTATCACACGGTAATGCAATTAAAGTTGTGTAAAGAATACTGTATTTGGTGTAAAGTAAAGTTGAGATTCAGTATGGATATAAAAAAACAAAGGCAATTTAATTATACTATTGGACACTAGAGGGTGCAGTTGATCAAACACTGGAAATGGTGTGGTTGCTATTTTTTCTTTACTTTAATACTTGTTACATGTGTAGTTCATTATGTTTTTTAATTATGAAATGTGCTCAAGAGTATTTACTCCCAACCATCATCAATTTGATTTTTGTTACTGTATATTCATGATTGTTGGTATTCCAGATAATCAACTGCATTATACATAAATTCATTCTTAAAACATTTTCAATATATGACCTATCCTCAGGGGCGGACATCCGGGCAGTTTCAACCTGCGGCGGTGAAAACAAAGGCCTAAAACTCGCAGAACACAGTACTTTATGATGATTGTTGAGACTCCCCTGAACAGTGTAACAAGATTAGCCCTACGTGTGTAACATATATAAATTTGGTTGTTCGGGATTACTTCAAAGTTGAGTTTGTGTTGTTTTCTCGAATTTTCACCGGCTCGACCGGCGTTCCACAGCAGCGCGCACAGAGCCCATAGAAATGCATGGTACAGTGATGCGCGTCTTAGCAACGTGGAACGTCTGTGACGTAGCTCCGCCCCCGAGGATTTGGCATTTCATTCCTGTAAACGTATACATACGCAACATAGATATATACCCAAGAAACATAATTTGTCACTCTCAAAATAAATAAACAGTAAGTTTTCAAATAATTTTCCAGAAATGTAGTCGAGGACAGCAAGCCAACAACTTGTTTGCATATAACAGTGACTTGTCAATCAAAGAGCAACGAAACAAACTTTCGGGACTTTTAATCACATACGTGTGCCTCGATTCCCTATATTTTAAAATCGATTTTTGAGTATATTCCAGCATTGACAATGCTTTGAAATTTTAACACTATCTAGCCAAGACTGTCTGGGTGAGAAAAAGCAAAAAAAAAAAAAAAAAAATTTCACTCAGAGTGCTCACGAACCTGCATCTATACCTTGAAAGAATAGCATACGTAGCAAGCAAGAAATAATTTTTTCTGCCTTAATTGTTTATTTCTCGGTGTTATCATAGCTTTATTCAATATTTCACAATTACCCACATTTGAGTTAAATGGTTAATGGAATTTCAATTCTTTTCAGAGTGTGTGAATGATATTGTTAGTTTTCGTTTCCCATTTGATTGTGTGTTTGGACTTTCTCTGCTACTAATTTTGAATAGTATTCAAGTTTAGTATGGATTCAAAACGATTCACTTCTGTTACTGCAGGCTTCAATAATTTGAAACATTCACAGCAGAATCCTTGGGATATTAACAAATTCAAACCATCAAATATTTCACACATGAAAGCCAAAACTTCAATAAAGCTCTATAAATGTTTTTAACGGTTATACTCACTCATGATCAAAATAAATTGTGGTAGTTGCGCCACCTCGAAGTGGGTATGTCATATCAACCTTCATGGATTGGTCCCCAGTATAGGCACTATCCGTGCTGATTTCATATCCTAATGGGGCAATCTGCTCCCAGTATTTGTCACCCATCTCAAAATCACCGTTAGGGAAATCTGCATCTTCGAGTATACAATCATTGGCTTCTGTTACAGTTGTATCACAATCTGCAGAAGAAAATAAAAATATTTATTCCTTGCTAAAAATGTAGTATTCTATAGTTTCTTTAAATTCAATTTAACATACAAGATTAGACTGGCTTCAGTTGGGCGATTTTTTCAAACATGAGTGTAACGGTCAGAAGGCCAAAGTAAGAATTAATTATATTTTTTGGGGTAAAACAAATAAGAAGTCCCGACTTTGCCAGTCTAATACAAGATAATATGCATATTATGGTAATTTTCACAGCCAGAATTTGTTTCCAGACAGACCACTCTATATTGGCACATTTTCTCCAATATTGTTAGATTTGAATAATAATTTTACATATTTAAAAAGGCAGATTCTAAAATTGCATTTATTTTATCCAAAGATGTTAAATGTTTATGGAAAAAAGCATATTTTGGACAGGACTATTTAGTGGAAGGTTACAAAGTTGACAATTGCGATGAAAAGATCAAGGGTTAGGGTAAAAACCATAAGGGGAAAGGTCAAGGGTCAAAGTTGACAACTGCCATCAAGGGTCAAAGTTCACTGTAGTGGTGAAATATCAAGAGTCAAAGTTGACAATGGTGGTTAAGGGATTAATGAGCCAAATCGATTTTATTGAATAGTTTACAAGCTACATATTGTACATTTTTTGTTTTGTCAAAAGTTTTTCAAAATCGTCACTTAATATTCTTGACCGAAATATTCTTTATGTGGAAAGAGACTGTGGCAATTAGGTGTTAAGTTAGAAAAACTACAGGGTGGTAAACAACTTTATCCAATTTTTCTGTGATGTTAGAGAAAGAAACAGAAAAGGCAATCAAAACGCTACTTATCTGCTCAATAGCGACAACAAAAACCACTCCCTTGAGTTGCATCCTAATTTTATCACATTACTAACATACGTCCTAACAGATTTTTTCATTTCTGTTTTTGTTTTCAAACAATGACTTGCAACGAGAGTCACTTGTGAATGCAAGTCCAGATGGCTCTTCTAAAGAACAAATATCACTGAAAACAAAATGTTTTTTTTTTAATCAATTTAAGTGTTTTTTTTCAGTTAAAATTCAGGGTTTTTTGTTAAAATCTCACTGGAAAAAGGAAAAAGTTTTGTTCATGGTTCCAAGATAAAATGGTGCAGTGATGTTTTGGAAAAAACTAAACTGATGTGTGCTGACACAAAGCAGGAATAATTTGGCGTAATTTGACATAAATGGCAGATATCGTAGACTTAATGAAAGCTATATCATGCATGGTATAAATAAATAATAAAAAAGAAAAAAAGAACTCACCATTAGCAGCTGTACACCATGAAACGGAAAGTTTAAAAACAATGAGAATGAAAGCTACATCAGTAAGCTTCATGGTCGCACACTTGCAGTACCTGCAATGACTGAATCCTTGTCCTCGTCAGCAGCCAATTCAAGCAATGATGGAATTCACTTTGGCGTTCAATATATTTAATTACGATAATGCCTCTTTATATATCCATCAAGAACCGTCTGCTATCTACCATACTGATTTATCATCTATTATTTAGACCAATATTTGTTAACTGTTGCTGGGCAACACATCCATTCTGTATCCATAGGAACACCATCCTCCTTGGCCTGAGGCGATCATTCATCAATGTGCATGTGGCATGACGTACTTTTGATTCTCGCACACAGTTAGCACGTGAGCTCATTGTTTGAGAGGCAGTCAATTGATTTTAAAGTGTTTCCATGAGTCGGTTTCTAAACCGATTATTTCCTAAAGTGCGCATTCAGATATTTTTTTCAGTCAAAATATGGGTGCAACATTTTGCTCATTTTTTATGTCAACGTTTTCACTGATTTTGGGACCAATTGACAAGATCTCTCATTGATCAATTTGTTCGAAAAAAATGTGAACAAAGTACATGCCATTGGGTTTATTTAGTGTTCAAATTGAAAAAAAGTGTTTATTTTCTAATGATCAGTTCAAAAATTCATTGGTTATGTTAGTTTAATAATATGTAACAACTTTATTACAACTACAGCATTACAGAAGTGTAGGTAATTGATACTAAAGATTGTATAGAACATCTCCCACTTATCGTGATCACCATGAAAAATGAAAAACTAGCCTGCACTGAATCACTCAATGCAATTTTTACCTGGGGTATATATTTTAGAGGTTATTCTATATTTGATTTCAGGATTCTGTTGAATAATGTTTTTCATGAATCCGTTAAAATGATGATGGTGAAATGATGGTG